AAAAACACTTCCCATTATTGCAACCCAATTGTGCACATGGTTCCCTAAATGTTTCATCCTCATTTACCACATCTCTCTTATGGTTTACATTATTGACACATACTTCATGCCTAAGCTACCCTTGCTAAGGACAAATCCAATGTGGTAACCCTCTGATTTCAAGTACACTGTTCGAGGAAGATTTTTTTCAAGGTCCAGAAATTGCTTTTGAAGTTTTCCAGCCTAAGTTAAAATATTCTTGTGTGACATGAAAATCTGAAGACAGAATAAACTATAACATTTTGACAAGGTGGACTGACCTATAAAAGCATCTGAGGTAGCTAAATGAGTGAAATCCAGCATATGCATTCCTACTCATTATTTATATATGAGAAATCTCAATTAAGCTATCGACACTAATCCAAAACTATATCAAACCACTTTCACCTAGTCAAGACCCAAGAGTTAGAGCATAGGTCTCAGTAGTATCAGGGAAACAAGGGGAGTTTTATCCGGCCCTTAATTTATTTTGATAACTTTGAATTTGACCCAATTAAACTGAAGACTTGGGGTTCATCACAGTGAAATTTACCTTACATGTTGTATAAACATGGCGGGCCGTACAAAGTAAAGGCACTACCGGCACAGTTGTTTTATTAGAAGGACAACTCAATCATCGTTTAGGCCGGAGAACAAATTTCTGGCATCGTCTATGTGAGATGTTTTGTCCTAATCTACTTTGTACAAATATTACAGATAATCTTCAGAGGTGAAAACAGCTACTTGTGATAAAAAAAAAACAGTAAAAAATTACACGACATGTTCCAAGGAAACCGAGTAGTGAAACAACATGCAAGTAGGTGAATTAGAGAAGTTCATCAACTTAACGATCTATTTTGGCCACGCAATATCAGAAGGCTTCTGAACGTCATGAACACCCGTCAGAGGTGCATTACAAATTTACTGCAGCCAGAAAATGAATTGGTTAAAATGAAAACGGTTTATTTTTCTAATGAAGGGGGTTTGAAGGCAAGTCACTCAGAATTCGTTGCTTTTAGATACCTTTGCAAATGGCAATTCGCACCAATTGGGTGTAACTTGGCTGTCGTGACCGGTACAACTTTTTTGAGTCTGAAAGACGGATAAATTGGAAGAAGTCTTTAATTAGGTCACGACGCGAGTTCCAACGCTTCCAAGGAGGATTGTGTTTTAAAGTTTGCTAGGACTTAACCTAAATGAACTTTTCTAAATAAGAAATGGCTAATTTAAAAGCAGTCATTGATGGAAATTCCTTTCTGAAACATTACATTGCACTTACTTGCAAAATAAAAGATACAGCATTTTGAAAATTGTAGTTGAGTTGAGACATGGAACTTTGTTTATCATTTTGCCATTTCCACGCCTTTGACTACCTACAATAGAACATAAAATGTCGAGAAACGAAGTGACGGGCTGGACAAAAGTGACCTTTAAACAAAAAACTACTCTTTTTGCAACGTTTTATACAAAAATGTTAAATTTTTCGTTGTGCTGCATTTTTAAAAACCAGTAAAGATCTCCTCTATTCGATAAGACTAGTCGGACCATCTACGTAGTCTTTTATCTCCTAAGCCAAATTTGAGTCTTTTAATGAAGCGCACTAACTCTAAAATTGCTCGGAATTGTTGATACTGTGCTTATCAAGCAATTGACAGGTTGATAACGCATCCGCCTAACTTGGACTAACATTATCCATAATTTACTGTGGATTTATATCCCAGGATGATGTTGGCCTGGAAACTTTGCTCTAAGACAACGTATCTATCATGGAATCATTTACAAGCGTTTTCGTGGTAAAGAAAGTATTGTTGGTGCTTTTGTGCATTTGGTCAACGGCCTACGTCCGAAACTCAACCTTTTATCGTGTTTCAGCAAAAATGACAGTTTATCGTAATAGTGTGCTGGTATACATGGAAGAGTCACATACGACTGATATTCAAAGCACTGGATAATGTTCATTACAATAGAAGTCAGTGGAAATTTTGAAAATCAAACTGAAGAATCCGTTGAGTTCACCTTTCACCTCGTTTCACATTGGCGAGTTGACTGCCACACTCTTGACAGCCAACGAATTCCTACATGCAAATAATCGATCGATATCACTGGTGCACACAATGGCTCTTAACATTGCATAAATTGCACATAATAAAACAAACTGGCCGTGATTATTTTGTCTGTTTGGGATATCATTGAACAAACGTGTTCCTTTGTCGGTCCACAAAAATTGTGATTTCAAAACATATGTTTCCTTAATTTCAAGCGATACATAAACGATATCCTCAACCTCAAAAACTGAATTTTTTGATTACATTCCATCTATATATTTTTCATGAGGTCCATATACAGAACACATCGAACTATAGTTAGCCACTTAAATGTTTACTTTAAAAACCATTGACAAGTATCCTAAGAATATGCAGCTAATAGCTTTTCCTATACTTACTACTCAGATTAAATAGCTAATTATTAATCGTTATGATAATCAGAATATACAACAGAGTGCGTCAATTCCCCAGCTTCAAGTCTTGGCAATGGAGTTTCCTATTTAGGTGTTTTCCGTCCATCGAAAAATTATTCTAGGGTTGTTGGTGCAATAAAAATAATTAAGCATGTGTAATTTAGATTAGCAAAAATTCGTAATCAGTGGATATCAAATGAACAACTTTTCTTTGACACACTTTGGTTTATATACGGATTTCATTGGTGAAGACAAGGCCTTTGCGCAGAAGTAACAACTCCGAGTAATTTAAGAAAACTTCGATGGTAAATTTATGGGGAACGTAAGAAACCTACAACATTGCAGACTGAGGTGGCTGTGAAGTGCATGCTAGTAAAATTTACTTGGAGATAATTTTTAAGTTGATTTTTCCAAAAATTCCTATAGCTCCTGTATTCATCTAAACCTTGGAGCTCGCTTAACCTTCCTTAAACACGCTTACTCGTGCACCGAAATACCATAACACGAACAGCAATAAAACAGTCTCTACCAAATCATGGCATTTCTTTTTAAAACCTCTTTGCTCTATTGTACTATTAATGTTGACGAGACATGAGGTTGTGCGATAGCCGCATATCGTCAAACACACTATTAACCATAGTTTGAAAATATTTAAACAAACGAAATAATTTTCCTTTAAGAAATGTTAAATACTGTTTAAGTTACCTGCAATGATTGGACCCATATGAAACAGGCTTAAAACTCCCGCACTACATCGATAATTCTCTAAGATATTTGACCTTAACGTGATAATACTAAGTCAATCACCTTGATCAGTATACTGCAAATAGGCTATAAATGTTGTTTCTATCATTTCACGATCTTCACAATTTATACCTACCCTACAGATTTCCTTTATTTTCTGACCTGTGCTAATTAAATTCACATTTAAAAAAATTATGGCTTAAAGCAACACATAAGGACTCCTTAGTTCAAAAATATCTTTACGTCACTCCCTTAGTCCCTATATATATTTGGTTCACCTCCCAACACTCATCATTTTATGTGTTTGATATGTCGTCGCCCGGAAACAGCATTCTATCGAAAATACGACGGGAAATGTATAAATTAAATCAACTTTTCATGCGCGCGCTTTTCGAAAATCCAATTGGTGTGATTTAGGGATTGCTCCCCCAATTCTGCTAGTAGTGTTTAAACTACGAATTAGTCAGTGCCGTAACAATATTTTAAATTAATTTTTACTACTGCATCAGAGTTTTTCTTATTGAGTATACTGATTTAGTCAACCAAATTTTGTTCTCTTTATCACATTCGGTGATCAGGTGATTTATTAACGCTATTTAATCGAAATGCATCTGCCTGAGCCATGATTTTTACAAGTTCAAGTGCAGTATAACTATATGCTACTGTATTTAAGTCAACTCAAAGTAGTTGATTCAAAATTCGGTTTTCCACTCCCGTTTCTACCAAACTGGTCCGTGTTGTTGGACATTTTCCTCTACCACAGTCGTGTGGCCGTTCCTTTGCAAGTTTAGGGGTGCGTAAAGTGCTGCAGTCATGTCGGAATTATAAACACTATCTCAACACGACCTGATATCATGTTTTGCTTTTAGGTGACCATGGATTCGCTAATTTGGGAAGATGCGAGTTTCGCTAACAAAAATTTAGAGAACTTTAAAAGACGTGTAATCTCCAACGCTTTCTTTTGGTCAACCCTCAACCTGGTTCCTGCTCTGTGGTTGTCAGCTATTGTGTATGTTCTCAATTTCAGGCATCTTCATTTTTAGGGACCCAAGTGCAATCACGAAGGATATCGCAAACGTCAACATAATGAATGTTGTTATTGAAACATTTTGCAAGTTTATTTGCCATTTTAATTTCTCATATTATAGTATTGGTCCTTCTGTGTATTTTCTTGATTTCCGCTGCAAGACACATGTATCACTTGTTTGTCGCATTAGATCTGGGTCAGTCACTACGGTCTAACGGTAACTTTATATATTTATCATATTTCTCGTACACATAGCTCATACTACTGCCGTAAATGCAAATTCTAAAATGAAAGGCCAGTTCGGACCAACAGTTTTCCAGGACTCCTTATCGAATTGTTTTTCGTCAAGTTTGCGCTACACATCCCCAGACGTGTCGTGGCATAAAGGGTCTGCCGAAAAGGTGCATCGCTATCTCGATTCGTGGCGTTCTTCTGAAGTGGTATCCCCAGGTTTGGTCCATCCATGTGGGGAATCGTCGCAAGTGAACATGTCTATTTGTGAGTAATTTTGAGGCCTATAGTCAGGGTCTGACTCGGTCCATTAGGAGATATTTTAAATTTGGCCACTAACATGTCCATTGTTATTAGTTTAGAAGTAAATTAAAATCTCCGTAAAATTCTATAAATTAAATATTAGGACCTCAAAAATATGAAAATAAGTCCGCTGCTCATTTAATTTTTAAGCTGTTTTAAATGTTCAAATTAAATATCATATTAGGTTCTAGATATCCTTCTAATTTGGGTCCAAAAGTGATGCCTGTTAATACCACAAACTCTTCAAACAGTCTGCAAACCCTCGATCGGTTGTAGGCTCTTATTTAAATGATCTGTAAATCAAATCCGGTCTTTTTAAGCCAATATATTTCGGCTTTTTGAAGCACCACCCGGCAATTTTACAACTATCTCTCCAAAAGCCCCGATCACATTCGGCTTCTCGCCGCAGCCTCTTTCTGCAAATAGCTGGTCATCACCTCTGTCGAGTCCACCCCCTCGCAGATCCTCCATACCTCGTTGGAATGCGTATTCCTCCTCAATAGCCTCATTGCAGTATCAGCTCTCACCTTGCCGTGGTGTCGATTGTCTTGACCCCGCGAACAGTTTCGGTAGTAGTGTCGCCGGTGATCGTGGTGGCAGCGGCCTCCTTTCGACATCGCATAACGGTGAGGCTGATGATAACGGCTTCGGGAAGTTAACCCCTCGTTCTCATACCGATGCCAATTCCACCGAAAAAGACGCCTCCGAGGTGAGTTGTAACGGCCACCTAAATATCTTCGTGCCCTTTTGGCATCGTCTTATAATTTTGTCGGCTAGTTTTCTTGGTAAGTTTGAATATCAAGTATGATATGATGAGATGTGAATCGTTTCCATTCCCGCGCGTCTGAGTCGACCACTTCCCGACCTCACAGCCCTCTCGTGTAATACGCGGTAGGAGGATGTAACGGTTCTGTAGTAGGTGTTTGCGAATGATACCGTCCGTTGTTTGCTTTTAATGACCAAGTGAAATGTCGCAAGTCAATCATATGTACGAGTCACTCCTTTTGCTGCGCTCTCAGAGCTGAGGCGTTATCGCTTAATCAACGCTGCGGTGCTCTGAGACTTTAGTTTGTCTACTTAAAATTGATGTCGGTGGGGCGGAATCTAATCAGTTCTTGCTCAGATTTAACCTGCGAATTGTGCGTGTTCCCGGTACCGCCCAGACTGATTCGCACAATGTAGATTTGTTTGTTATTTTAGTATTGGAAAAGCAACAACGTAACTCTTACGGATCTTGAGCGATGGACAGTGAGTATCCGTAGAGTGAGTTTGTTTAACCAATTTTTCCCTTTTTGCTGTACATCCAACAAAAGCTGCTGTGCACCACTCTGGAATGAGCACAGCTCCAGCAAATTGCATTATTAACTATTTGTGTTAGACGCATGTACTTCGTAACTGCTTGTTTCTGTACCTTTTAATCAAACTCCATAACGTTTCAGTGGCTGCATGGCACTATTCTCCGCCGTGTTGTTGATGAAATCGCCTCCGTGAACGCAAAGATATCTAAGACCTCGGATGATGCTGTCCTAATTGGATGTGAGTTGGCTTTTTTACTCAATTACATCTGCATTTGAAATAGTCCGATTTTATGATTTTCCTCTCCATACTGACCGCTCCTCTTTACCGTTTGCCTTTTTAGCTACCACGTTGAGCACACTGGAGCAGTTGGCCAAAGGGAAGTACCAGCATATCTCTTCTCTTCCTACTCTCTTGCGGTTCCTGGACTGTACGAAAGCCCAGAGTTATCTTGTGTTCCGTCTGCAGGGTACGTGTTTAGAATAATTTGAGTGACATTATTTGCCCACTAACTTTGTTTTAAGAACTAGAAGCTTCTTTTCAGGATTCATAGGCCTCGCTCAACGATCGCTTATCGCATTTTAATTGGGCATTAATTCTTTCGTATTCGCTAACATTAGCAAAATTTGAAAAACTTGCTAAAGCCGTGAGATCTGAGTTGCCAAACTAACTCAGCTTGAGCATTTTTATCAAAGACGAATTCCTTGCTTCGCAGTACTACCAGCCACAATAGGTATTAAGATAGATGACTTTAACTTAAGTCGTCATCTTCGACATTTGGGCCGAAGTGAGTAATTCCCTTTGCAAAATTTTAACGAAGCAACTGGCCCAGATTCTTGTTTTTTTTCTAACATAAGGCGAGTCAAAGTGAACAGGAGTTGCGGTTGCTCGGGATTGAACGAATTAAGGCTTGTGCTTCAAGCTTGGGGAAATGGTTATACTCAGTTAAGGTTGAATTTTGGGCCATTGTTTGAGACCTTCACTTAGTAGTCGTCTTTAGTCCAATCCAACCACCTAGAGTACTGTACGATGGAGACAACTAGAGCACTTGGTAGTGAGATATGTTATTTTCCGGTAATGTGATCTCTTGTACTTGTTTAACAATTCATGCGTCTGATTTAATTCAATGGCTCAGTGGTAGATTTTCTTTTGACCTATTTTTTTTTGCAGAATTGTCTCGAGGCAGTTGCTTGGGTGAATTCAGGTGGGACGGAGGCTCACGAAGTACTGTGTCACCATGGAAGGACTACTTGCCGAACGATACAATGGTACGTCGAGCGCCCGCGTAAAATGTGTTCGCAAACTTTCCCCCGCAGTTCGTTCACGCTGCCTGGCTTCTCAAACTTTTCATTAACATAGTGGCGTCAAAAATATGCAACGTTCCTGTACTTTAATTTAGTGACGTATGTTTTTACTTTGCACTCAGATTCTCCTACACATGTTCTCCGCTTACATGGATGCTTGTTTGCCGCCTCACCCAAAATGTCTCTCTGGGAGGTCCTTTGGCCAGTTACACCTTGTTCGGACGCCTGATAAGCCTGGTAACTCTTGCTTTTTACTTCCTCTGCTGTCAATTGGGAAAAATAACTATTTTAACCTAGTTTCATCTGGCGCTCAACGTAACCCGCCCCTTACACATTGGAGTAATTCCAAAGCTTTAGTGTACACAATGTGAACCAGATCTCATGCGTAAACGAAGTCCCAATTACCCAACCCAGTCGCTCGTCTACGCCTATTTTTGAATCTAAACAATCGTATGGTCTTTGGGCACTATACAGAAGTGTTTTTGTCACAGGCTAACTTTGCGTCTTGTACGAACAGACAGTATTCCTCTCTGTGTTTGTACTTAACAACAATTGACTGCCACCTCTCATGTTCATCTTCCTTCGTTTGTAGATTTAAAGTCGAAATACACTGCCCAACTGTATGTCGCGAAAATTCAGCCTCCGTTAATCAAGGTTGTGTTTGACGGGATTACATACGTGTTCCCATCAGTATGTTTCGTTTTTAATCGCTAACCAAAACGCCTAGGATCGAAACAACCTTTATCACGCGTTATTAATGTTCTTCCACTTTTACAATTCCCTTGACGGTACAATAAGGTAAGGTGCCCCAATTCCGTCAATTAACGTCACTATCCTTAGATCGATTACCTTGGGCCCTTCTGGTTTAAATGTGGCCTGGATTTTCCAAAGGGAGTAGACTCTGCAAGACAGACTGTATTTATCACCAACCACATCAAAATAAATACCGTGTTTCTGCTATTTTTATATTGTATTGGTGTTCAGACAAAGTGAAGAACGATTGTCGGAAATTACAGGTTCTTATTCTCAAGTTGGTACCTAGCGGCCGATTGAGTATATTTACTATGAACTATTAGCCTCGAATGTGTTTGCGCTGGGCTGAAACTTAAAGGTACCCTGGCCAGCAAACGATGAGTACACAATAGTTGAAGTTTTCGTGCATTTGATTTTTCAGCCATAACTTAAATTCATAACCTCCTCCTCTGCGGTGCCCAGTGGTGCTTTTTCCACCTCAGTAAACTTGAGAACTGTCACCTTTGGTCTGTGGATTTGTTTCAATCAGTGTCACCGACGCATAGTAGATTGCGCTTCCAACATTCGACCACCATCAGATGTAAGGTGAGGAAGACGTGAGGGCGTTTACATCCTTATTGTTTGAGAAACTGAACACAGTCGAAATCGGAGGGTTGTGGAAGGGTTCGTTGCACTCTTAAACCGGTTCATAGTTTCGGTTATTTCCAAAGAAGTTATGTCCCTAATAAAGCATGGCTGTACATTTTAACAAGCTCACTACAGCAAAAAGAGTTAAAACTTGGCTATGAAAGATAGGTAATTTTAAACAGTGAGAAATGTACCCGGGTCGATAGTTACATACCTTAATGGTTCTTGCTGTGCACAAAGCCGGTAGTTATTCTGTATTAAGTCGGAACAACCGTATTCCATAGACTCGGAGAAGCTGAGAAGTAGATCAATGGCTAGTTTTTATAACAATGTATCATCAAATGTAGACAAAGCGTCGCTAATGGACGAGGGAGCTCCATTCGATTTACACGTGTTAGATACATCAAGGGAATGTGGGTCAGATTCAACAGTCTGTTCTGTTGGTATTTGCTCCGTGTCTGGACGCTGAAGTGACGCATCAGAACATATCTTCTTTGAGGGGGCTGGAGCTTCCGTGGAACTGGAGCGCTTTCTTACCGGTTTTTGCGGTGAAGAGGAGTTACCAGTCATGTTTGGTGGTCTGTGAACACTGGATCCCTCAAGTGGTTGTGGTAACTCTTGCGGCTGTACGGGGAGACAAACATTCTCAGTCTCTATAGATATAGAAACACTGGAACAAAATGATTGATCGGTTTGGCTGAAACTGGAAACGCGTCGATTCTTATGCGAAGTTGAGTCCTCGACCGACAACAGAGGCTTTTTAACGCAATGCTTGAAGGAGTGGCGAAAACTACGTTCTGCGTAAGTCCGGACTGTTGCGTCGTCGTGTTTCAAAAGGACTCGACAGAGTTCGCGTATAGAATTAGACTCTGAGAATAAAAAACCGTAATCTTGCACAGCGGCCATCGCGTTTATGAATGAGGCAAGAAACTGTGGTCTTAACAGTACTCGCTGAATGGGAGTTGGCCTGGAGGTCTTACTCAACAAGACCACAAGGCGGGATGCAAGGTTTTCAAATTCAGATGATAACAGCAAGAGTAACTTTTTGAGGGTGTAATGGTGATTACCATCATCCAACATTTTGTTATAAGGCGAGTTTTGAAAAGTTAATTTTGATAAGACGAAGGACTGGTTAACGAAGAGTTGCTCGATTATGCGAATTGAAGCCACGGCACAAAGTATGCCAAGTTCGGAAAAATATGGTGAATTTTGACTTGAAACAGTAGTCTGGGATGCAATAGTATTTACGATATTGGAGATATCGCTACAAACTTCGGAAACGATTCGAGGAACAAGTCTTAAAAGAACGGAAGAGGCTACCAGTGCAGATGCATCAAGCATCGAGGAAATACAACGATAAACGGATAATTTGAACGCTAACATATTTACAGAAAATTGTGAGCGAACGACTTGCGAAACCCACTCAAGCTGATAAACAAAACTGGTCATAATAGACGGACAGGCTGGTAGGACGTTCATTCCGCACGAAGCAATTACAATTGAAAAACAATGAAGAAGGCTTTTTACACAATCCACCACAGCAGGTGATGAATGGCGAGGGTCGCACACATTGACAGAGAGTGCAGCTGCAAAGACGGAACATATGTAAGGCAAACAAATCGGTAATGTCATAGTGCACCCAGACTCAAATATGCTTCTAAGAGAGCTGGAAAGAAGATGGATTCGACAAAGTGCAAGATCTAATGCGTTTTTTACGCAAAGGTCGCCATTGTCGAGCGAAATCAAGCGAGGTAGGGAGTGTAACTTCGTGGTCTCGCAGGTTCTAAGGGATTGTAAAGTCGCAGCAGGAAAATTAGACAATTCAAATATTTTTAACAAAGCTTCAAGAAGACTGGAAGTAATTTGCACCAGAAACTCTTGAAATGCATCAATGCGTTTAGCAGCAATTCCATTAAGGGCTAAACGTGAAAAACAGACGCCTGCAACTTGAAACTGGGAAACATCAGACGTATGCAGTTTTTTGCATGTGATACTTGACTCCTTGTTAGCAACTTTGCTGTACAGTAGGTGGAAAACACCGGACTCACATATTCCCCAAAAAACGCTGGAGTGACGACTACCAGATTGAAGCGTTTCAAGTAACTTTATCCAATCCCATTTTGCAGAGCAATGGCTAGATCGTAGCTGTTGAAAAAAATTAGTCAGGTCATCTGGCAAAGGAATATCCGACTTCCGACCCATGCAACATGCGCCAAAGAATTTGAATTACCCACGATTTTGCAACCTTAAATATTTAATACAACAGAACTTTTGGCAATATTGAGTTAAAAGGGCTATTATTCTTTATACTTATGCAAGTATGAAGTAAACCACAAAAATCATAATACAAAAGTTCAGCCGGGCAACGCCCAATGTTATACTAAGGAGCTAAAATTCTACGAGGAACGGCCATTGCGTCAATGATAAACAAAATAACACCCATGCGGTCCAAGTTGACAACTGACTGTAAATTGATGGTTAAACAATAAAACGGTCACAAATCTTTTGTTCTTACACAAATTTTCACAGGATCGCTTAAATTTGTATATGATCAACATTTGATTAGTTACCTATTAACAGTTTATTGTAGTTGTCCCTGGTGCAAAATAACAGTAATTTGGCTTCGTGCTTAGTTGCTGCGTTTCGTACATCCCTTAACATTAGCTGGACGTCGTTATGTGCTGACAAGAACCAGGAAATGCATTGCCCTGTAGCTTCTGACACCTGCATATTTGGCGTTCGTGATTGTGGTGGGTATGCAAACACAGGCTTTCCTTCACTTCATAGGTTTCCAACACACCTTCCACTGACTCGTTCCTCTATCAGCCTGTGGCCCCACAAACCGGCTGTGGTACCAGAACCTCGGACTACGGGTGTGAACCACCAGCCGCCAACACGTCTCCAGTGGATGTCTGCTCCGAAGTTAGCTGTTCTCTGCCAGCAACGCGTCTAGCAGGTCGTGTAGATCCTCTTGACTTTGAGTTTAAGGAATCTCGCGTCATCTCCTCGTCAGGCTCCCTCAACGAAGGTCTTTACATCCCAAATTCGCGAGTTAGCAATTCGCGTGGAATACCTACTGTGGCAAGTGTAGAAGGGCGTGTGATTGTGGAGGGTGTTAAGTTCTTTAGTAATAGGTGTCATCTTTGGCAATAGTTTCATAGGTAATCCATGAACCTCTTAAAATAGACAAATCGAAGATAGTAATTTCGATTTTGAAATATCTATATTGCTTTTAGTATTCAAAAGTTACTCGTGTCACAATTTTAGCATTTCAGAGGTTTATTAACACACTGCTTCATCTGCTCTGCTTACAAGACTATTGCTTAATATATATGAGTACTAAACTAGTCACAAATCCATGAAAGACGTTATTTGAATCTACTGCGGCACGTCTGTCTTCAACATCTGTCAATTACAAGATGGACTTGTGAAAGTTTGAGATAACTAATAAAAACCTACCTTTAAATTTATTTCGCATCACTCTTTTGTGCTTCATGTGTGGTTAAATGGTTGTTTGACGAATCCTTAGACAGTATTCATGTGCTTAATTGTTTTGACATTTAGGACAGATTGGGACATTGAACCAACCAATTCCTTACCGAACTGTTGACTTAGCCATTTGGCGGCACTTACGAGCCCTTGCGTTCAATTAGCAAGTTAAAGCGCGGAGTTGAACCTGAGGTTTATTCATGGTTTTTTGTCAATGCTAGCAAATTATAGAAAAGAATATGTATCGAATGCGACCACACAAGAAAGGTCCCGAATTTATGCTTTTATGTCTATATTTGAGGTTGATAAGTTGTGCGTTGACGTTTATGTTGGAACTAATCAGAGATTTATGCAAGTAAATAAGTGCAGTATGTTAATAGGTACTCCGTAAGCATTATCTATCTTTGCCTAAGCCTCAATTAGTACCTGTAACATCAGTCTTCGTTTATAGCCTGCTTAAGATAAATTCATGAATCGGTTTCACATGTTTCTCCTAGGTCTTAATTTTGATTGCATATATGTCCTTCTGGAAAGGTTTTGCTGCCTCCCAGCAGATTTAGATGGTTCCTCAAGTTGTAATGTTTGACTTTTAACGCAGTATTGCATTTAGTTGCTTCTATAGCGCCACCTAAGGTCAGTTCACAACATTTCTATTCAGATATCCAGTGCAAGCTTCATTGTACTCAAAGGGACCGCTGGGCTGTAAGACGATGCCGCAGTGCTAATCTGTGCATTCCAATAATTTACCCTTCCGTCGATTCAAAATGTGCATCACCGATGTTAACGTCGCCACCGATTAGAGCTTCAAATTCTGCTGGCGCCACACCAGTGCGTGGAGCCGAATGTGGAGCCAAATGTCGGCCCAACTATTCACCAGAATTGCCAAGATCTCCGTCAGCAAATAGTGCTGAATTTCATGGAAATGGTAATTCTAGCGGGACTTCTCCTGCATTGTTTCCACCTGGACCACCTGCGTCACCTGTCCCCAGTCCCCCCGGTGAGATGTCCACAGCGCCTCCCACTCCCTCGTCTGACGCGATTGTCCCTGCTGCGAGTGTCATTCGTGTTAAATTAAGAAAGCGGAGAAATGCAATTTGCAGTCAGACACCAATGGGTAGGGGCCTTCGTGAGTTCCTGGTATCCTATATCGTCTCCCACTTAACAGACTCAATGACATCATCGCTTAATTTGACGGCTACTGCCCACACAGTGATGGAAGCTGATGATGATAAAGAAGAAGAACCAGCGCAGTTAACCGATCCTAATATGTAAATATATTTGTTCCTTAACGTTCAAACATAAATCAGCGGTCTTGACCACATTTTGCTTTTATTCGATTCACATGTACATATCAACGCGCATGCACTTGAAACTTTGCTTATTTTTATCGATAAGTGTGTCCGCTTTCTAGACAAAGAAATGGGCAAATGTTGGAGGCAGCCACTAGTGTTTCATTGATTTTTCCTTTCTACTACTTCTACCACCTATTTTGGTGAGAGTCATATGAACACATTTTTTTGCAAAACTGAATTCGACGAAGCCATTAAATCATTAAACATTGCTGCTCTAGTAGTTTAACTCTAATTTAATAGATTTTTGAAATTCATTATCTGCTTCCGATGTTCTATTCCTTTTTAAACGACTGGAACTGGTAATAATGATTTCATGGGACGTTAATAAGTCGGATAATGGACACAGGAGAAATAGCGAAACTTAGGTCTGAATCTCACATGCAAGTCGATCGGTATTGCATGGTTTGTTGAAAAGTTGATTTCATTTAAGCAGACAGCCTCCAGTCTAAAATTCCACTGGGTTCCGTCGTAGTACTAATTCAGATGATGGAAACGTAATCTGCGTAACACCGGAAACCATAGAACACTTTCTAGATGCTATTTTTGTGAAGGATTGTAGAGCGCCCGTTGGGCTCATTGACCAGTTTGCACAACATCCCCAAATTCCACTCACCCAAATCACCATAATTTACCATCCGATGCATTTTATGGCTCCGCTTCGCATTATGATCTGACATTTGATATTTTCATTGCATTTTGTGGGCACATGAACGCCTGTATAAATCTATCTTATAGGGAAGCACTAGGCCCCACAAGATCGTTAGCATCACCTGCACGTGTAATAGTTAGATCAGTAGGTAAACGACTTAGGACTCAACATAGACTCTCCGATCTAGGTGTGTTGATTGGCCATGGTTTTTCGATGGTCAACCCACTTGTTGAATGTTCGCTAAGTTTTTCATAGTTGAATTATATTGTTAATTTGATTACAACTACACACAATTTCTGATTGCATATAAACTCGACTCTTTGAAGAAGTTACTGCTTACGTGCAACTCGTAGTATCGTGCCAATTAATTGAAAGGTCAATTTCATATCGCAGATAACTTAAATTTCAATTTTCTTCTGTTATCGTGTCATAGTTTTAACTCAATGCATCAGTCGACGATGATTTGCCTATCCGGTAAATTTCAGTAAAAATGTGATTTGATAATAGCATCTAAATAGATCAGAAATAAAATCACTGCAAATACCTCTGAAGTATTAATTTAACGAGATTCTGTAAATGCCTAGCTTCCTGTTTCATCTCAGCTTCTACCTAACTTCACTCGGACGAACTCGGGTTCTCATTAGTCACGCTACTTGAGTACTCTTAGACTGGAGTATCGCATTCGTATTTTAATGCTCCTCGCAGCAATCTCTTACAGAAAAGCGCTTAATTGCAGTTCAAAATATGTGGAAGGAAATTACATATCAACTAAGTATCATGCTCACTACTCTAAATTACACCACAGTTTTAAATAATTCAAAGAGGTGAATTGCCTCTTGTCTGTCGCTGGTCGATTGCAGCGTACATTTGCATTGGACGCGTCAGTGTCCTTGGACATCTGATATGACACATACATCAGTTTACTTTTTACTTGTTATCAGAACCGTTAGTGTGTCCATCATTCCTACTTTTGGAATATTCATAACTTTTGCAGTGATTTGGCTCCGTTTTCAAGTCGTCGTCGCTCCATTCGATTTTACTAATGCCCCTGACAATCTCAAGCGTCAGACTCCCAAAACTGTCTATAGTACTACAAATGGTCAGCTATCCTAGCAGGACAAAGGCGAACGCCGACTACTACTTTGTGTAACGTTCGCTCACTCTTCGTGCATGCGAACGTGCAGGTGTTCGTAGTGCTCAAATGTCGTAGACCAACTGTACTTTAGCACACCTCCTTTTATGAATCTAAACAACGAGTAAACTGCCGTGTGTGTGAAAACACTTAGGGACGGTAAAGTTCTGTTGTAAGATGCCTTATACTAGTCCATCACGCCTCTTTTTGTAGAAGTTCGGGACTTCAAGCGTGCACTACCGCTTGAGCATAGTTTGTTTATCGTGCTTCATGCAGATTACGGGCCTTAAGATCTTTTGTGTTCAACTTATTATGCAACTCTGAGTTCATTTTCATTTCAAGATCGGAGCCGATTTGGCTTCTGAAAGTTCTATCAACAGCCGTAGGGTTACACGGGCTCAAAATGAATGTTTGAGTAGCACAATCTGTCACATGTCCGAACCATTACTGACGCACTTACAAATCGATGGCAGACAACAGACTGCGAAATCATAAGTAGGGAACAGTATCGGGTTATCCCAATGGAGTATTTCATCAAGCACACATACCGGTCTCGCTTTTACAACAATTTCTACCCAATGAAATGAATTTGTACGGGACCCACGCCTCCAATCTGATTTATTAGTTCTTACTGTGATTTGGCAAATCAGTTGTTACTTACACATGCTACGAACGCTATACTAGTTGTTGGTGAACTAGCTTTGCAAACAGTCACAACCTGTCAGCCTTATAGACGTCTTACAAGGTTGACAATTCTATGAATTCTGTACCGACTTATCTTGCTAAACCCCTTCTTCAACAACAACAAAAATAACATGCCTTTGTTGTGTGACGACGCATGAAGACCCATGCACACCGCAATTAGGATTTAGGGGCGTGGGAAAAGGCACGGATCCTGCACTAGTCACCGATGTAAATACCATGTTAAAGTACAATCAGATACTTTCATATGGGAAATCGCGATCGAGAAGTTGTGCATCAACGCAGGTACTGGTACTAATTAACCGAACCACTGGTGTTCGCAATGTGGGAAGCTGCGCTCGCAAGTCAAAGTCCACATTAAGAGAATCAGCATAACTTTTTGTGGGGGTGTGTGTGCGTGTGTGACAAAACTTAGTTTATTCCAAATTATCTACAATACTGGAAACTCTGCTCTGGATCAAGCAAGTGCAGCCCGAGGACAATGAGACGGCAATTCGCATAATGAAGTCGGCAAAATGTTAAGATGTGTACAAAATAGTGATTGCTGGTGACGGAGATACACGATATTGCTTTTTGTTTGTTTTTGACTACGTCAGTGCTGATCCCTGTCGGTGAAAACACACTTCAGTTCAAATATGGGCTTTCGCGTCCGCATACGCGTGGAGAGGGCGATTAAAAGATTAAAACGGATGAAAGTAGAATAAGAGATCGAGGAATGGTGAAGACATGCCTGGGGAAAAAATTGACACGGGAAATTCTCTCACTCTCCCTGGATGGATGTATTGCATGTTGAAAAAATATTTCCGGATAATCTAGTCTGCAAGAACGTCGATACACACGCCACCATCATGAAAAACGCCACAGTGATTGGAGGAATCTAAAATAGATCAAGTCAGTGGTTAGCCTAGAATTGATTGATAATCCACTAACCACAAAATCCTTTCTGTATCATGATACGGGCTCAATTATTTGTGAATTCACCCGGTAATGCAGACCTGATTCATTCAAACTTGCACCGTGAGCCGAATTTGAGGCAGTCCGTGCTTACAAACATGGTAGTCAAGACTGTTACGAGTGGCGCGTCTCGAGAGTAGGAGATAGGAAATATTACCGCAAGATTAGCTTGTCGACTCCTTGTCAATCTCAGCTGCCCACCCCTCAGTCGTCGGGTCTTCCTCGTCAAAATCCGATCGATGGGCTGGTGGTGGCGTGGTCGGGCCGCCAGTTGAATTCGCCTCCCCCGACACCGATTTTTCGCCACTTGACTTCTTCCGCTGATGTCGGTGCTTCTTCGTGGGTGTGATTTGTCTTGCTTCGCGAACTAGCTGCTCTTCGTCATTAGCCACTGGTTGCTTGTGCTTGGCTTCCGTGCGTCTTCGCGTCTTGGCTGACTTTTTCCACTTCGATGCAGCCATTCGCGAGCCCCCACCCGACGACGCTGCGCCCGGCTTTGACGGCGAAGAACTGAGGCTGTCATCAGAAAAGGGGTTGGCACCGTGGCCACTTAGCAAGTAATCCATTTGGGCTGGAAGCGATGTGGCGACGGGGACGTTTTCAACGCCAGCGGCAGAAGGTATTGGTGGCTGGAGAAGTTCGGGCGTTTGGAAGGGCAGGCGAGACCGTGATACAGAGGACTTGGGTATGCACATTGCCTCTGCAATCAACACGCCTTTGTTGGCGGCCTCAGCAGCAACGCAGTCCCCGGATACGTCGTGGTCCGGTTCTGGAGGGAAGTCACTCTCGCAGAGGAAGAGGGAATCACGCTTGGTGGGGGTGAAGTGGGGCGAAGAAGAAGCACCCACCTTGGGTAGTGAAGTGGATGGTGGTGAGTGAGAGCGAAGAAAGACAAGCGATGGAGAGACCACAGTAGGAGGCGGATTTGAGGCAAATGACAATTGGTTCTGCATAGATTGGGCAATACCATCATCATCCTAAAGATAAACCGAGATCAAAACGAGATACATTCCTGGGACTTTCGTGACACCACACTGCCAATCCAGACTGAAAACACTAAGGACGCATTCTTTCCCCTAATGTATATTATGGTTTTTCCTGAAACAGATCAGTCGGCAACTTAGTGACATTGAGCAAGCATCGCTTGGAATTCGACATCATGAACATTCGCGGCACCACTTCACATTGCCAATGATTCATTTACCTTGATGCTAATGTCAACTGTTAGAATGGACTTATAGGCACAGTTCAGGCATATTGGAAATAACGAGATCTAGACCGCAGAATTTCAGCTTTTAGGTTTAAATAAAGCCTTGTTTGGGAAAGAAATGCAAATTAGTCTTACCTTGAGCTGACCCGAACAAACAAATAGGCTAAATGCATCACCCAACCAATTTGAATCAAATTTGCCGAGTCTCCATGGGAACGCGTGGCCCTGCCTTGCCACAATGGAACAAAAGGTTCTTTCTTTTGGCCAACATTGGTCC